ATAACACTGATTGTAAAATGGAATTAAAACAATTAGATAAAAAAGTTTACCTTGAATAATTATCCCATGTATAAGTTAAAGAATTGACATAAACAGTATAATAAAAATAGATTTAATACTAAATATATAACCGATAAAACTTACAGCTCCTCCCCCTATATTAATGATATACACAATAATTGTAGTAAAATTTTAAAAAAAGATAATATAATTTTAGCCCCATCCTTAACCAACAAAATTTCACACAACATCCATTCCGAGAATATAAAACACAAGACTAATGTAGAAAAATTTAGAAAAATCGGGGATTGTTTATAAAATCAGTTGTGATTGTCAAAGCCCAAAAAATTATATAGGTGAAACAGGTAGACAATAACAAATCAACAATAAATTTGTTATAAAACAATACCAAATCTTATTTCTTTATTGCCACAACAAAATTGATTGAAGAAAGAAAAGTCCTTTTTTAATATTTAAAATGGTATACGATCTAAGAAATAAGACCAAATCTGTTAGTATCAAACCATCGATAGAAATCTTTTCATTATTTTTATTAATTTCATGTTTTTATAAGTATTATAAAAGATTTAATACTTGTAAAAATAAGATTATTGGGCTGCAATTTTTCAAATTGCCTACCTATAAATTTCCACTGTTGTCCGCTTGTCTGTCCTTCCTTAATCTTGAGAACGGAGTTAGATAGATGAATATCGAGACTAGATATGGAAAGCTTAGAGAGAAGAGGTCTTGATTAACTATATATGTTATTTCAATTCAAAGATTTTCCCCTGAAAGGAGTTAGATAGATGACCGGCATGACTATTGCTGACAGGAAAAGAATGATGTGCAGGGGAATTTGAGTTGGAGAGCATATATTTTAAATTAAATAAAAGAATTTTTATAATAATTAATTTAGTTATTATATTAAATGTATAGTATTTTTGTTTCAGACAAATAAAAGAAAGTCATCGATGGATGATGCTCCTTCAGATAAACGACAAAAGAAAGGAGATAATGAAATAATTGCAACAACCTCACAGAAAGAAGAAATGGATCATTCACTAGAACATCGATTAATAAACAGAGAGGATGAATCCCTTGAACAATCTCCAAACGAAGAGAGTTATCAAGTGAGAAATTTAAGATTAATGATTACGAATGATTACTTATTGTGACCATGTCATAATTCTGGGCTGCAATTTTTAATCATATTTTAATTTAAAAAATTACGTAACCACTGGTCCAGACCGGAAATTCGTATATAGTTAATCGGGACCTCCGGCCCCTAAGCTTTTCATATCTGGTCTCGATTTTCATCTAACGTTGTTCGCGGGATTAACAGTTAATGACAAACGACTGGGAATCTATAGGTCTGCAATTTAAAAATTGTCCGTCTGTCCGTTCTTAATCTCGAGAACGTGTGATAGATGCGAGTCGAAACCAGATATGAAAAGATTAGGGGCAGGAGGCCCCAACTAACTATATATGATCTTCCAGTCTAGACCGGAAGTCACATGATTTCAATTCAAAATTTTCTCCAGAATGGAGTTACATAGTAGCAGAGTCATGCCGATTATCTATCAGGATCTTATTACAGGAAATTAGTAGTGTCTTGCCCTGTACTTTTGTGTAAGCCTAGAAATTCGACAATGGTGTTTGGAATGTCGAGCATGATTCCACTGACTATCCAAACACCATTGTCAAACTTCTAGGCTTACAGGAAAGCGGCACTGAACGTCCGACGTACACGTTTTCGCGTTTAAAACTTCGGCCTCAACCTCGCTATAATAAATATAAATTCGACTTTACAAAGATAAAACTTTGCATTTTGTCCTTTCTNCGTTGATGGAAAGATGTCGATCCGAGGTCGGGAGATGGAGACGAAGATGGGTGCGAGACACACACACAACAACAGATCCCTCACTTGGAACTTTCGGGAGAAGAAGCCCTCGCGTCCTCGAATTTCCGGGGTTTTATCCGTTTTCTCTCAGATTCCCCTTTCCGATTGGTCTCTCCTCGTCACCTGATGACAATTCGAAACCTTTCGAGGGCGCGGGAGATGTCAAAATCGAAGTTTAATTCGATCTTCAACCGGAAATGGTCGACGGACTTACATTCTTTTATTGTTTAAAAGTTAGCGTCGCGTTTTCATATAAAAAATCTATTTCTAACTACTATATTATTTTCTTTAAAACAATTATTTTAACGCGAATTTTAGTGAGGGTTCGGACCTGTCCAGAGCCTCACACATACCTGGTACAAAATGTTCGATTGTATGAATATAGTTTTGTGAAGAAACGTACATAAAAATAGCATAAGATATTCNGTAGTATAGAAATTTGTAATAAGATACATAATGCGGTTATAATAAAATATTGTGCGATTATTTTCATATAATTAAAATTAATATTTATTTATCTTTTATAAAATAGAAGGGAAGCGGCGCTTCCACCGCTTCTAATGATGGCACGCCACTGGGTTTTACGCCCGTTTTTACGCTAGTGGAGTCTTGGCCTAATTACAGAACGATTCCGTAGCCATAGTTCTGGTCTTTATTACGAGATGCCGTTAGTGTCGTGACGTTCAGATAGCGTATATCTCGTACTGTACAGTGTTCTTGGAAGTTTTGTCGATATTTTAGCTTTAAAACCATACTTATCATCGATAATTGGTTGTGAAGTATTCCTGCTACGTTGCTAAAAAATCGTTATGGAAAATATTGCGTTGGATATATTACAAAATACTTGTTGTTTTCGCGATAAGCACTTCTGAAAAGGAAATTTTACGGATGAAATCTAGAACAGGTTTAGAGCATAAGCAAATCCTGGTGGAGGAAAATTCTATATTCTGTCGTGAGACTTCATGTTCTGAAGGATTTTCTACTTTCCTTCGATTACGTGAACATTGGAGAAAGTACTGTACCTGTACATGGATTTGCCTGTGAAATTGAGAAGCTGGAATTCAAAACTATGAAGGGTAAGTAAACTCTGTTCTGAAATTTTAAAAATGTTGTATTTAATTAATATATCTTAAAATAATTGTTTCATGAATATTAACAGCTCATTCAGTTGTAAATAAAAATATTATGTACTGTATTTCACAGATTTCTACTAATGGAAAGCCACGGATAAGTTGAGAACCAACTGAAGTTAACTGTGTCGTACTGTCTAAAAATTCATGGAATTTATAAATTCTATTCGTGCGGCTCTGGCACATGGGATCATGACTACGCTCAATTCAGAAATGTACTTACAAAAGGAAAATATTCAATGACAGATTGTGCATATGAAAATGTTGCAAATGTATAATTTTCAATAAATCTTTTTCATAAAGAAGACATCTTTCTTATGAATAGCATTTTTTCTTAGCTAACGTTCAAATAAATCATTGTAGATCTGTTAAATCAGGCTACAAAAAGTTCACTAATATTTTACTGACGATGATAATTTGTTGATGGATTTAAACTACCAATTCTAAAGGCTTTACTCAAATTACACAAGATACATTTAACTCTTGGTATTCGCTAGGGTTAGGTTTTTTAAAATCTCGTGAAAACCAAATAAGGATGCCTATGGAGAAAATTGAGTTTGGTTTTGTGGAACATTTCAAAGATAAACGTATCAAAGATAAACATAATATCAAAGGTCATGTTGACAGTTTTTTCGACTCTCGTGGGGTGGTGTGTCGTGAGTACGCACCACGAGGCCAAACCATCGCAAAGGAGTACTACCAGGAGGTCCTTCGTCGTCTTTCCGATACAGTGCGACGCAAACGACCAGATCTGTGGTCGATCAAAACTTGGCAGCTCCATCGTGATAACGCATCCGCCCATTCTGCGCATCTGTTTCGGGCTTTCGTCACCAAACACAATACTCCTGTGGTTCGTCATGCTCCGTACTCTCCCCACATGGCTCCGTGGGACCTTTGGCTATTTCCCAAGCTGAAAATGCCGCTAAAAGGAACCCAAATTTAGTCGAGAGAAGACATCGTGCGAAATGCGACGGACCGGCTGATGACCATTCCAAAAGATGCGTTCCAGCAGTGTTTCCAGCAATGGCAGGAACGCTGGGAGAAGTGTATACATTACCAAGGAGACTACTTTGAAGGGGATTAGGGTTTTATACCTCAAAGTCAATAAATTTATTTTTGCCGATCAAAGGTCCGATACTTTTTGAACAGACCTTGTATTCTGTAGAATAACTTTTATAATATACTGTATAATTTTAAATATTTTGATAAAAATAATGAACAATAATCATCCTTTAAAGCTATGATATAAACAATGAACATTAGACAAAAGACAAATTTGACGGTCAACAAACGAACAGTAGCAAATTTTGTTTGTAATAAATTAATTCTGACTGTGGTATTTACAACACAGTCAAAATTATGCTTGTCAAGCTTCTTGATGTCACAAAGTAGCGACATCTCGTGGTAAAAAACAGAACTATGGCTATGGAATCGTTCTGTAATTAGACTCCAGTGTTCAATGGGTTATATAAATAGATACTTGTCTAGGAGAAGTTGCCAGGCTGATGATAGCTTGAGCTCTTCTTTTTGGTTGATGCATGTATTTGTATTTTTGAACTGAATTCAATATCGAATAATTAAAATTAAGTTAATTTGTATTCAAATTGAATTTATTTTTTATCTTCATAATCACTTTTGATGTGAAAGGCAATGGGAAACCACCATATTACCTATTCCTATCTACAATCCTCATGATCTCATACCAACATGCGTCTAGTCTGCCATGCAATCCGACTGGCCACCAGCGCCATTCTGAAGTCCAGATCAGATGGTGAAAAATATACTACTGGGTGCATATCAGTGAGCGACCAGGCTATATGCAGCAAATCGACTACTACTGGAAGCCAAAGAAGAAACAATACTCCAAAAATCATCACGAGGAACATAAACAACATAGTCACGTGGAATGTAAGAATACTGTACGCCAAAGGCAAATTACATAACCTCGTATTAGAGCCAAAGAACTGAAGATGAACATACTCTGTGTCAGTGAGACGAAATGGCCCAACAGTGATTGGATAAAAAGCAATGACACATATGACTTTGTTTTCTCTGGAGGAGACCATCACGAAAGAAGTGTCGGAATACTCATCAAGAAAGACATCAGAAAAGCTGTCGATGGAGTAGCAGCAATATCAGATCGCATTCTTTACCTGCGCATAGCATCATACCCCATGGCTATAAGCATTATTCAAGTATACACATCTACAGAAGCTGCCCCGGAAGATGTCATAAACGAATTCTATGAACAGCTTGAGAAGACACTCAGACTTGCAAAAAGAGGGGACGTCAAAATAATAATGGGCGACTTCGATGCTAAAGTTGGAAAAGGCAGAGTAACTGACACAGTAGGCAACTATGGACTAGGTGAAAGAAACGAAGTTGGTGATAACTTGTTGAATTTGCAGAACGCCATGACCTATGTATCACAAACACATGGTACAAACAACATCTGCAAAGACTGTACACATGGAAAAGTCCTCAAGACAGAGAAAACAGAATAGTACGAAATCAAATAGACTTCATCCTCATCAACAAACGATACAGAAACTCAATTCACAATGTTAAAACAAGGCCTTCAGCCACTGCTACACAGATCATAATTTACTCTATGCCAGGTGTGCCATTCACTTAAAGAAAGTTACAAAAAATGGAAACGAAGTTACATTACAATCTCGACAGGCTGAAAATATGCGAAATCAGGCAACATTTTAGTGAGGCGATTGCAAAAGAAATCCAAGACAATGGCATACCCTCTATAGAGAAACACTGGGAAAACATAAAAAGTACAATTAAGAATGCTGCCTATACCTTACTTAACAAAAAGGAAAGAGAGCGGAAGAACCCTTGGATCACAGAGGACATTTTGACACTGATGAAGGAACACAGAAAGTTTAAGAACCGAAACCCTGGAGAATACAAAAAACTTCATCAGATGATCACGCATGAATGCACCAAAGCTAAAGAAAAGTGGTTTGAAGAAAAATGTGAAAGAATAGCAGAGCACAAGAAAAAGCACCATACCAGAAAAGTCCATAGAATCATCAAAGAAACCATGAAAGAACTTAAGAAAACAAAGAAGGGCGTAACAAATTTAATAGACCAACAAATAGTCCAACAAAACAAAATGAAATGTGGAAAGGAAGAAAGAGCTAAAACTTGGACAGAGTACATCAAAGATTTGTTTGGAGATTGCAACAGACATCCCCAGATTCATACAATAGAAGGAGATTCTGCCCCTCCTATTATGCTAAGAGAATTAGAACATGCCCATGGTCTCCATGAGATGTGGAAAAGCTCCTGGTGATGATATTCCAGCCAAACTCCTAAAATCCTTGGGCACATCTGCAAAACTATCGTTACTAGATCTTTTTAATAAAATCTACAAAGATGGACAGCTACCACGCGACTTCAAAAGATTCACTTTCATCCCAATTCCAAAGAAGCACAATGCCAAGCGGTATGACCAATTCCGAACCATAAGACTAATGAGCCATAGCCTAACGCTCTTACTAAAAATTATAGAATACCGAATAAGAAACAAAATGGAGGCTCAGATAAGACCATCGTAATTTGGGTTTAGACCTGGAATGGGAACAATTGATGCACTGTTTGCTGTGAGAATTTTATCAGAAAGAGCCATAGAAATGCAAAGGGAGTTGTACATCGGTTTTGTCGACTACAAAAAAGATTTTGAAAAAGTACAACACCCACTTTTAATGGAAACATTAAAGAGAGTCAATCTAGACACAAATGACTACAAACTGATCGGCAACCTATACTGGGACCAGACTGCCACAGTTAAACTGGATGACATAGAAACAGCACTATGTCAGATAGAAAAAGGAGTTAGACAAAGATGGGTATTATACCCACACTTTTTAATGTCTTCTCCGAACAGATAACACAGGAATGTTTCTGTGAGGATGTGGGGATCAGGGTCGGAGGAGTGAATATCAATAACATCCGGTACGCCGATGATCTCGCATGCATTGCCACATCCGCGACAGAGCTCCAACAGATGCTAGACTTACTCCAAGCAGGCAGTGTGAAATATGGCATGCATATCAATGGAAAAAAGACGAAATGTGAAATGGATAAAAATTAGTAAAGACTTCGCGGCGGACAATTCCCAAATCTTTGTAGACGGTACTTTACTGTAAGAAGTAACCGAATTCAAATATCTTGGAGTTTTGGACCAAAAAAATGGTCCAAAACAAAACTTCTACTGGGTGTAATCATAAACAACATCCAATAGAATGTAAATAAGCTTTGTTTGAATTATTTCAAGCAACGAAATGTTATGTACGATTATTTAAATTAGCCCCAGTTATCTTGGGTCAGGACAGTGCCTAATGAAAACGTTGCCTGAGATAACTCGGGTCCGGACGGTAAGTGGTTTTTTTTAATTAAAATACACAACAATGTATATTATTCTATACAGATATTTTATTAAACTGCAGAATTTTTGTTTACAACTCACGCTAATTAGTAAATAAAATGGCTAACAAAAAATTGCACAAGCTATCTACAAAAATACTTTTTCTTGATATGTCGAGAAATTTGATGCCATTTACAATAGCAAATAATGCTTGTGAATTTATTTAAATATAATTATACATTCGAAATTTTCAGATGCATTCCTTTAATTAGAAAAAACATTTCAATGCATATGATGTGCTATTACTGCACTATCATACAGAAATAATTACTAAACTTGGTAATTACTTTTTGTGCTTTTGAGCCTTTAACACAATAAATATTAGGAAATTGAGGGGGGAAATACACATGTAAAAAGTTTTAGATTTTCAATTAAATTACAGTTTTTAAACAATAATTAACAAATTAAAATTTTCAGATATTTCAATACATATGATGTGTTATTACTGCACTATCATACAGAAATAATTACTAAACTTGGTAATTACTTTTTGGGCTTTNGTAATTATCTTAATCTTCACTATCGTTACTTTTTGCCCAGCAAAGCAGGTCCTTGCAGCTAGATTCTAGATTACTTAGAAAAACAGTCTTTTATATATATAAAAAAAAACTATATTACATACAAATAAAAACCCAGCGAAGTGGGTCCTTGCAGCTAGTATATTATATAAACTGATCATAACTTACATCATTCACTAAATTTTTTCCTTTGAATTGTTTAATATGGATCATTAAATATGCTGTATGATAAAAAAAAAATGTAAAAATTTAAAATAGGATAAATTTGAAGTCCATATTTAATTTTCCAGTATATTGATTGCTGAAATTCTAAAATAAATTAGGAAAAATCAATCTTTACAGTAATTTAAATAAACAAATAATAATTTATATAACAGCATACATGATAACATGAGCAACCCAGGATATTTTCAATTAAAAATTGAATTTTGACTATTTACAAAAAATTTTTTAATTTTTCGAGTCTATCTTTCATCCTTTTAACACACCACAGAAGTAACAGTATATTGGCTTGGATGAACTTCCACAGAACACGTGATAAATTATAACGAAACACACACAANTGAACCAGTTATATATTGTGCTAAAGAACATGGTAGTTATGGTCAGAAATGGTAACCATTGTTTTAATGTTAAAAAACGCCGAATCCTCAAATAAAAGATCGGCGTTTCGATCGTTTTTAACTTTGTGTGTGTTTCGTTATAATTTATCACGTGTTCTGTGGAAGTTCATCCAAGCCAATATACTGTTACTTCTGTGGTGTGTTAAAAGGATGAAAGATAGACTCGAAAAATTAAAAAATTTTTTGTAAATAGTCAAAATTCAATTTTTAAATAATAATTTATTTTTTTAGAAAACAGTGAGCAATAAATATTAATTTGGTTTGTGAGAAAAATATATAATAATAATTTTTGATTTTGACAATATAGAATTCCATTATGGCTATGCCATCAACATTGATTTTCAAATGAAAATAATGTTTGATTAAGAATGTTGATATCAAAATTCTATGATGATTAATATACAGGTGGTTTTTATATTAAAAAAAATAACAGGAAATCAACCATTTAAAATTATAAATTTGTCAAATCAGTTTTTATTTCATTTTTTAATATTTTTATATAATTCTTAATTAAATTAATTGATTGATTAATGTGAGACAACAGCACATTACAGGCTATATGACCAGCCAAAATTACATCCTTTACAGGCAGGTCCATGCTTTACCTTTGGGGTCAATTGGTATGGATACGAAATGGAGAATTGGAGAATGATGATACAACTTGTTCTACCCACAATAAATTATGAAAGCTGAATTGGGTATAAATCCAAAGCAACGTAGCACTAGACTGATATCTTAATGTGTTACTAGTTAACTTAAATGATTCTTGAAATTGATTAAAATTTGATTTATAATTGATTCATTTTTTGAAACCATGTTTTCGTATTTATTTACTATTGAACACAAGACTGTGTTATTATTAAAACACTTGGCGTTTATCTACTTTATTCTGTTGATACAGGCACTTTTACATGTTTCGGGCGTATAGCCCCTCATCAGTCAACTGATAAGAAGAAACATATACATTAGATTATTACATTTTGAAAAAATTATATAACGATTCTAAAACATGTAACTTTTAACACATACCATTAAAAATGCAATGACACTCATACAGCACAAGTTATTATTCACTGCTGTTAGGATAATTAGCAATAAGACTCAATATTGTGTAATGTCCAGGAAACAAATTTGTTATAATATGCTAAGTGAGGTTTATCTGATTCTGTTATGTGTAAATGAAAGGTTGTGAGAAACCAACCAAATATATTCATTAATCATTAGAAAGGATTCTGCCTATATATTTATCAACTTTAGTAAGAATATAAAGGATGTGTTACTCCTACTTAACAGTAAGAAACAATAGTAAACAAAAATTAGTATAGTTCTGTGCGTTATCAGTATAAGCGTGTATATTTATACGGCGTTTTATTTTTTAATTTAATGTATGTAGGTTTATGATATCAAAGTTATCAACTTATCCTAACAGCAGTGAATAATAACTTATGCTGTACGAGTGTCATTGCATTTTTAATAGTATGTCTTAAAAGTTACATGTTTTAGAATTGTTATATAATTTTTACAAAATGTAATAATCTAATGTATATGTTTCTTCTTATCAGTTGACTGATGAGGGGCTATACGCCCAAAATGTGTAAAAGTGCCCATATCAACTGAATAAAGTGGATAAACGCCAAGTGTTTTAATAATAACACAGTCTTGTGTTCAATAGTAAATAAATTGATTTNTTTTCCTGACCAAATAAACTGAAATTATATATTTGTTTAATTATTTTATCACAAATATTTTTAAAAGATAATAAATCAATTTTTAAAACAGATATCACAAATACTGAATTAAAATTTATGTTAAAGTAACTTACATTAGCAGCATAACAAATAGATTATTTTTGTACTGCTATATAATGTGAAAAATTTAAATTTTTCCCCAGACCAAAATATAAGTTTATATTACAATAAAAGAAACTGATATCCTTTTTGAATATTTACAATTTGAAATATTTTTTATCAAACTGATTATAAATCAATGATCAATTATTTCAGTTTTATCCAACTGAGTCATCGTGATAACAGGAATTAATGGGGAATTCTGACCTAACGATAATTTACACTCTTGTCCATCCTGCAAGCTTTCGTTATCTATGCTTGTTTTTTCTGTACATTTTACCTCGGAAGATTTGTCGTTAACTGTTTTATCAGCTTGAATTTCATACGCATCTTCAAACGACGATAAAAATTCGTCTCCTCCGACCAGGGATGCTTTCTTTTTCTTTACTTTCTCGATCAGACTGTCTGAATCCATGGCCAAAATCTGCTGCGGAACATAAGATTCGAAACTGCTATCTGAAAAACTGTTCTTGGGAGTAAAAGGAATTGCCCTTATGCTTGACACATCTGTATCTTTATCGTAACCTCTGAGCTTTCCTCTTTTGTGTTCAATTTTTTCAATCATTTCACGACTGTTGAAACTTGGAAGACTTTCTGTTTGCTTGACTAGAGAATCGTCTAAATCAAAAGAATCTTCAACAAAACTATTCTGTGGAGTGTAAGGACAAGAATTTTGAGCCGACGAACTCTGAGAACTCAATGGCTCACCAGATACACCTAGTCGACCAATTAGATTTGTAGAACCAGATCCGTATCTCGGACTGCCTAGGTTGCTGTCTGCATTTTCTGCACTTAGAGGATCAAAATCACTTAAATCATCAGAATTTTCAATATTTCCAATTTGACACAAAGGATATGATACAAACACTGAAAATAACAAGATAACTGATAAACTTAATAACTTTTAAATATATATATTATTTAAATAATATTTACTGCAAAAGTTTTCTAAAATGCATAACATTTTATATTACTGGTAAACTGGTACTTTTTAATAAATAAAAAAAATCTGTAAATTTGCAATCCCTAATCACATAGGGAGCAGAGGATGACAGCTTTTGCCAGCTGTAAGTTAAATGGGTATGCTGTGTGAAATGAAGTTTAAAAAAATTCTATCTCTGGATCTCCAGGTATTTATCATTATGGGACCATAACACATTAAAACATTTGATTGTACTCTATACAGTGCAGAACTAGCAAGGTGGGCTTTAGCCCTGCAAAATAATGATATTGAGATCAAGTACAGGAAAGGAAAGGAGCACAGTAATCCTGGCAGAGCAACCGAAGGCACCAATCCTTGGTGGGGAGTGATGGCCAAAAAATTTGGCTGACAATGAGCTTCATATTTGGCTCACATAAGGTTTATGCTTAATTCCTGTGGACAATTACTCAAATCAACTTAACAGAAGTTTGCTGCATAACTTGGAACAGTGGGGAATGACAGACAAAACTATTCATCTAAAAAGAAAAAACACTAGAACAAACTAACTTTTTTTCAAAGCCCATCAGTGGCAGAATGGATAAAATCACTGAACACTGATAGATGGTATAGGTTTGCACCTAACTAAAAATCTGGAAAACCACTTTTCCAGCCTACCTTTCATGTGTGTAACACCTAAATGGGGTCGTAGAAAAATTTTTGTGTTGAGTTGTCTTATTCCGTTGAACAGACAAGTAATTGAAGCATAAATTGTTGAGTTAGTTATGCATGAAACAACTTAACGGAAAATTAATTAATATTCAATAGCTGAAAGTTAGCAATTGCTTGACCCTCTGATTATTGAGTCAAGAACTGGGAATTCCTTATTCATTTTGAAACCATCATTTTGTTATATGAATATATTCTTTTCTGAATTTGCAATCATAAAAATTATATGATTCCAAACAATTTTTGTAAATTTTCTTTTATTCTCTTATTCCTGTGGACAGTAAGAGGGCCTTTTATCCAAGTCTACAATTGAATGACACAAATACCCACAACAGACCATTCCTTAAAAAACCTTGGGGTTTTTTTACTCATCTAGATTTGATCCAGATGGGTCAAAAATCCCAAGAATTTGCTGATTTAAGTTGTCATTCTTATTGCTCTGGAAATCCCTGGTTCCCAGAGCAGCAACAATGATGACTTATGGTAAGTGCACACTTGGCAAATGGACAGGGCAATCAAAACAAATGAAGGAAAAATCCACATGCATTATAAGTTATAGACATGTGGGTGGATTGGGAGGACAGGGAGAAAATCCATCTTGCATTTTCAAGGAGGCAACATTTCTGTCATCCACCCCAAACTGACAAGATTATTAACTAAGATGTACAGCTGTTAAAACCTCTTGAAACTCCACTCATTAATAAGAATTTTTTGTTCTTTTGAGAATGCTGTCCATTTGTGCTCATTTCTTTTACCATAGCAGATGCAATTTTAATTTCCCTAGTATAAAACTGCTGTAAATTAAATAATTGTTTGTATTCTCTTCTAATAAGAAAGAAGCAGCTCACTACAACTAATTCTTTATGTATGTTATGCAAACCAAAAAAGTGCCTTGTCTGAACACTTTTTTCTTTCTTTCACTTTACATTTTGCTCAATCTGCCACTGCAATCTTACCAAATGGGTACAAACTGATACAATTGCAATGGTAAATATGGAAATCTTGGCCAATTTTTGGTATATGTTATGATATACCATATGTGTATACACAATTATATATACACACACACACACATCCTTTGTCCCAAAAGTTTCTAGATTGAGCCTCTTCAAATGAAAAACACAAATGAAACCTACTAGACTGTGCCTGCAAGGCACAGCCTAGTAGGTTTCAAAATAGGTAGGTTCTTGTGCAGTGATACAATGGTTCCAATACTATTGGTCTTCAAAGCAGTTATGAAACTCCTCTTCCATAATGGAATTGAATTGTATGTATCCAGTCCATTGGATGTTGTCAACATTGTTAAAATATCTACCTTTCATGAACTATTTCAGATGGCAGAATAAAAAAGTTATAGAGGATAGATCAGGCAAGTATACACTATTTTCCAGCCAAAGACCTTATACTGCCTTACCAATTGTATTTATATGGCAGTATGAGGTCTCACATTACCATTCTTTCAGATGATGCCTACTTCATGATAAAGTTTAGGGCAATGGCAGTAAACATTCCATAGTAGTTGCCTTAGAACATTGATGTAGACATGTAGTTTAAAAGTTTGGCACTGGGGAATAATTCCTTGTGCATGATAACCTGCTTATCAAGTAATTCAATCAACATGATCCTTGTCTTTTGATGACTATCTGAGAGTTTTCTTCAATGGCAGTGATCCAAGGCTTTTCCACTTGGAATTTTTCTTGTTTATTTTGCATATTATTTTGGTAGCATCAGGTTTCATCTACTGCAGTAATATAGTGTAATAGCAAGGGGTTATCGTGGGCAGTTTCCAGATCAATGCAAATCTGAACATGTTCAACTTCTTCATATGTCTGTGAAGCCTTGTAAAATATGTTATGGTCTAAAGGAGTGTGCTGCTTCAAACAATTCCTGAGAAAATCACTCAGTCTGGAAACTTTTGGGACAAAGGCTGCATATAACTTACAGCAATATTTATGGATAAATAAAAACCACTTTTTTAATCAAACAAATATTGAAGATATAGAAAATAATTATATACAGTCATGCTCTGATATTCAAATTCATGCTATAACAAATAATGTTCTTTAGCAGATTTTACAATATCTAAATCAAATACCAGTATTACAAATTTATTTAAAGTGCATTTATAAACTTTTAAGAGTTACACTAGCTGAGAATGGAATCATTCCCTACTTCCTACTTTTACATGTCTTCATTTGTTTCAGTGGCATTGTGTTTGAGTTCTACTGAGTTGTACAGTTTACTGATTATCATAAAATTTTAATGTAATCTTCCAACCTCATTCTTAACAGTTCATTTTAATTAGAGATAAATAAAAACAGATTTTTATATAAATTATTATGTAACTTGAATAACATTAATGATATGACATCAATCAAATTTCTTTTTTCTTTTTACTTGATGTTTCTTTTCATTCCTTGGGTGGCAGTGAAAGGTTCCTTGGGTGGCTTTTTCTTTGCAAAAAAAATGTTTATTAGGTATCTAGTCCTTATATTATGCCCATTGCAGAACTTATAAAGAAAGAAAACAGAGCTTTTACAAAAATCTACTCACTTTTTAAAAACTCTTTCATTTGACTTTCCCACTGTTATATATGAGAGAGGAAGAGTATGGCAATTGGCCAAAAAAATGGCCCCCATTATTTTACATTTTCGCACTCTGGACCTGTTCATATATTTCCTCTATCTCTTCATCTGAATGAGAGCTGGTAGGCATATATACTTGGATGAATATCGAATCTTTTGGTTCTTCTTGAATTCTGTCATTTAATTACCCATGATGCAAATTCTCTTTTCAATGCTATCCCCATTTTATTCATTGCTTTCCTTCCACCTGAAAAGTAAAGCTTGATATCATCACTCACTAAGTACCCAGAATCTTCTCATCTCATTTCACTTAGTCCTACTATGTATAATTTATTTATTTTCATCTCATTCTTCAGATTTTCCAGTTTTCCAGCCTTCCTTAAAATCCTCGCATTCCAAGTTCCAATTCTCAAGAGTCTCTGTGGGGTTCCACAGGCTGACAACCTGTGGAACCCCCTTCTTCCCTACCAGGCCAGGTGTTGCAGTTAGAGAGAACAGCATTGAGGTTGCAACAATTTATATTTCTACTTGTGCTCATTCAATGGAAGTGCTCATCTTACTAGGGAGGTTGTTACGTTAGTAATAAAGCATAGTAGTTTCACCATTGCTTTCTATGCTCTCTCCTTGTGTTAAATCATAACAAGTTAAAGTTTTTACTCTGTTCATTAAAATTTACAAAACTTTATAAATCCGTTGGATCATTCAAAAAATTCAAACCAATAATAATATCGTTCGAAAAGTAGGTCCCAACATATTGGATTCAGATAATAAGGTATGACTGTATTTTAATATGAATTTTCTAAATATGAGATAACCTTATAGCTAAAAATTTTTGAGATTACATAATAAATTTATAGATATTTATGAAAAAGTAATCCATGAATATTAGAATGTTAATAAAAAGCACACAATGTATAATGAATATTAGCAGTCAAATGAAAGATATATTATAGATTATATCATCATCATAAAAATAAACAGCAAATTTTATTCAATATGTATAATGGTTGTATGTATTTTTGAAAATCAATTTAGATAATAACTAAATAATTATTATAAAAGTATCACAAAAGTTCTTAATTAAAAACTATTTAAATATATGAAAATTGTAATCTAAAACACAATTTATAACATTTAACTTTTGTCTCATTACATAAAAATTGCAAATAATAAATATAATATTTAAATTAATGTTATTTTACTATAACAAATGTATTTGAAATCCATTTATCTATATATATATATATATAAAAATGGATGTATGTGTCCCTATATTTCACTTTTCAGCCAAAACTACACATTGCACATGAATGGTGTTTGTATGTGGTAGTAGCTCCAAGTCTCCATTCGTGCACTATGGTGGTTGCGTCTCGATAGATATAAGGGTGTGGGAGATATGGGGGCTTAAAGTGGTTGACTTCAAAGATTTTCTATTTTGATTTTAAAAATGTTCGAACCATTTTAAATTCGAATTGGTTCGGTCATAGAACGATTGTAAACGTTCCAGAAAATTGATCAAATTGAAAATAGTTCGTGTGACTGGACGTAAAAATTCTCTAATTAGTCTGGAAACGGGGGACCTAATTCTTGCATATGGGGTTGAAAGTGGTTGACTTCGAAGATGTGTAATAATGGAAGTGTTAACAGTGGAAGTGTTAACAATGGAAACGTTAACAATGGAAGCGTTAACAATGGAAGTGTTGAGTAACAAAGGAAGTGTTAATATAAAGCGGCATGCAAGATTTACAGGTGTTTTTCTGCGGTTTTGCGGAAAATCGAACATATTTTTAGACTCATGTAAAAATTCTCTGATTAGTTTGGAAATGGGGGACCTAATTCTTGCATTCTGTGAAAACGGGTAAGATTGGCTATAATGTAATTATCTTAATCTTCACTATCGTTACTTTTTGCCCANTGTGTCAGATTACCAAAAGTGTCCAGATTACCGAAAATAATTACATATTTCGCATTGTTTTGCTAGCAGTAACTTACAATATTCTCTACTCCAACTGTTCGAACAGAACTGCTCACATAAAACACACGAAATGTGTGTCATCGAGTAAGAATTGGATGGGGAGATTCACATCGCGACATGCTTCTGTGCAAGCAGACACATAACGGGGACGAATACCTTGACGGGAGGTGCGTCGGACTACTGAGCATGTCGGATTAAAAAACGTCGGACTATAGAGGGACAACTGTATTATGTAAAATCCGACCATCATAAATGGTAATGTAAGGAGGGGGCGCCCTTGGGGAGATACCACCGTGAGGATTGTTTCCCTTTTAAGGACGCGGTGTACCCGAATATAAACTCGCACAGAGGTCGCTCTTAAGGTGAAAGGTTACGACCCTCGCTTTGCCCGTGATCTGTCAGGATGACACGAGAAAGCCTTTACCGTACGGGGGTCGCGGTTTGCTGGACGCAAAGACTCACACAGAGACCGTATTTACCAATTCAACGCGTTTATTTGATGGGAAATTATGCTTACAATTGGTACACTAACGTCGGATCTTTGATAGGCGTCCGTCACAGGCAAGTTCGTCGAATAGTCCGTTGTTCTTGTTGTTCCTTGAGATAGGTTCGTCGGATGGTCCGTTATTCGGTGAGGTAAGTCGTCAGTCACACACACCAAAATCACAGGAGGAGAAAGTTCGTCTCCTCGACCGACGTTTGGAGGTAGCGGGGTGTCTCGCTGGTACCGGAAACTTGAATCCCTAGTCCTCTTCGGAAAATCTCTAGGCTGATCCGTTCTCGGGGACTGTTGTTGGTCTTCTTCACAGCGTCTCAACCTCCCAACCTCTTCGTGTCCTTGGGATTTCGGGCTTTTATAACATTTTCTTCCCGAAATCCCGAGATTTTGGTTGGTCCGAATGTGGGTTCCCTGCGACTCTATTGGTCCCTGGTCTGTTGCCAGGGACGCGATTCGGGCTGAGGGGTCGCCGAAATGACCCCGTCCGGGCCGTTCCCCTCCAAAGTCGGGTCAAGCCCTTTCCCGGATGACGGTCCCGTAAATTGTCACCTAATGTCTATTTTTCTGTCCCGGAGAGGAGGAAGCTGTCTCAGGCGCCGCCCCCTCCACAGGAGTGTCAGTAGGACCTGCTCACAGGAGTGTCAACAGGAACTCTCTGTAAGGTGACCGTCCAAAGTTTCCCGACGGTCGATCCCTCGATCGTTCTCACGATTGACAACCGTGAATCTGTCAATTAGGCCTGGAATGCGACAATTAAATCGTCTCGCACCCCGTTCTTTGGTCACACCGGTCCTATTTACGTAATAAGTCACCGATATATTGACTTTAGCTCGACAGCCGGTTTCCGTCCCAGGGGGAGTGTATGGTCCCGGCCTCACAGTAATGTCCAGGAAACAAATTTGTTATAATATGCTAAGTGAGGTTTATCTGATTCTGTTATGTGCAAATGAAAGGTTGTGAGAAACCAACCAAATATATTCATTAATCATTAGAAAGGATTCTGCCTATATATTTATCAACTTTAGTAAGAAGATAAAGGATGTGTTACGCCTACTTAACAGAAAGAAACAATAGTAAACAAAAAATTAGTATAGTTCTGTGCGTTATCAGTATAAGCGTGTATATTTATACGGCGTTTTATTTTTTAATTTAATGTATGTAGGTTTATGATATCAAAGTTATCAACTTATCCTAACAGCAGTGAATAATAACTTATGCTGTACGAGTGTCATTGCATTTTTAATAGTATGTCTTAAAAGTTACATGTTTTAGAATTGTTATATAATTTTTACAAAATGTAATAATCTAATGTATATGTTTCTTCTTATCAGTTGACTGATGAGGGGCTATACGCCCAAAATGTGTAAAAGTGCCCATATCAACTGAATAAAGTGGATAAACGCCAAGTGTTTTAATAATAACACAGTCTTGTGTTCAATAGTAAATAAATTGATTTATAATATTAAATTCCAGTCATATAATTGATTTATAATCTACTGTATATATCTTTCATATACTGTTATATTTAATCAATAAATGCATTATTTTTCAATTTATTAGCAAGTTTAGTTGTTCTTTTTCCTTCATGCAATCTACTTACTTTACAATTACAGATAATATAAAAAAATCAATCCAAAATTAATATATAGACAAGTATAATAATAGTTGAATGATAATAGATGTTGATTCACGCAGAAATGTTTTCTGTGAAAGAAATATTTAATAATTTTTAATTATGAAACAAAATTAAATTAATGAAAAATGTTTTTAATTATAAATAACCATTTAATTAAAATTTACTATAAATTAATTTAAAGCTTACATGAAGAGGACACTGAAGCTATCTGATGTTGAAGAAATATATTCAAAATAGGTAAAATAAATTTTCTTGATGCAGAGGAATTTTTTTGATTGAATAAAGGAAAAGGAAATTCCAATTCTTCTAATTCAAGATTAGGATCATCATAATTTTTCAAAAATTCTATAATCTAAAGTTAAATGAAAATAATTAGATACTTTATGTATTAAATCATACAAAAAGATTTAATTCAATTATCTAAAGATGCCTTTTCAAAGAAATCGGATATTTATAAAATGTAACATTAATAAAATTGTGGAGAACAACTGTTTCCAAATCATAGGAAAAAGTTGATAAAAGTTTTTGATAAGTTTCATTTTTCATCTGAAGAACAAGAACTGTTTTGTTGCAATACTCTAAATTAAGACTGAATGTATACAGTTTGTAAAGGTCTTTTTTATTTTCATCTTCAACCAATTATCAGAAAAGTAGAGACATGTTAGTTAAAAACACAGGTTACATAGCTGAGAATGGAAAATCAAGTCATTTGATTTTCCATTTTCAACTAATTAGTAGAATAGATTTATGTTGTCTGCATAAAGTCTTGTTCTTTTCTAGAATACTGCAACTGAAATAATCATCAAAACATGCTATCTTGTACTATTTACATAATAAAGGATAGCATATTGCTATAACAGAATCTTAATAATAATAATTAAAATATAATTAAAATGTATTCTTACCTGTTGTTGTAAATCAGAGAGAGGAGAATAAATACCAATATCTCTCTTGATTTCTGTTTCAGTTTTAATATTAATACCCATCATGACAACTGCATTATATTGAAATTTTGAGCAAAAATGATTCACAGTTGATTCAATATTTTCAGATGTCTTTACCGACTATAAACAAATATACTATTTTGTTACTGTTTTGTTTTTATTAATAATAATAAATTAATAATTAAAATTAATTTTCATAACAAAAATAATAGTTTAAGTGGGCAACTGGGCACAATATTGAAAAATGAGAAAAAAAATTTAATTTGGTTTCCATAATTAAGCATTTTTTCCCTCTCTCATTTTAATTTTCATTTTATTTTATTATAAAATTTAAAACATTTGTTTCTAAAGAATAAAAAAAATTTAATAAATTTCAGAAATTATCAAAATGGAAGATTATTTTTCATCCTCAACTGATTTCATTGAAACCAAATTTTTGAAATTTAATAATGTAAAATGTATATTATTAAATGTTTTGTTACAAAGAATTAGAAAAAATTTAAACATTTGTTTTTAATTATTACAAAGTTACAGGCCTAAAGATGATTAATTTGTCTTATCACTAATTTCAGTCAACACATGTTTGTGTATGCAACAGCATATATAGCAAAACCATATTATTTCAAAATTCAAAGGACCAAAAAAAAAAAACAACTTCAAATCATCTGAACATTTTTCAAATTAAATTTTTTTTTGTAATTCTCAAATAAAATTATGACATTATCTTACATAGTTTCACCTGTTTAATTATAAATGCATTAATATTACAAATTACAGTAGAACCTCGATTATCCGGACTAATTGGGGATGAAGGTAGTCCGGATAAGGAAAAATCCGGATAATTGAAACAAATACTTTAATTTTAATGATAATATAACACGTTTTCTTTTCGATGACATATCGGTAATATTAAAAGTAAATACTGTATTTAAATCGTGATCAAATTTTCAAGAAACAAACGTTTGTATTGCATTTGGACTACTACTATAAATTAATTTAAAGCTTACATGAAGAGGACACTGAAGCTATCTGATGTTGAAGAAATATATTCAAAATAGGTAAAATAAATTTTCTTGATGCAGAGGAATTTTTTTGATTGAATAAAGGAAAAGGAAATTCCAATTCTTCTAATTCAAGATTAGGATCATCATAATTTTTCAAAAATTCTATAATCTAAAGTTAAATGAAAATAATTAGATACTTTATGTATTAAATCATACAAAAAGATTTAATTCAATTATCTAAAGATGCCTTTTCAAAGAAATCGGATATTTATAAAATGTAACATTAATAAAATTGTGGAGAACAACTGTTTCCAAATCATAGGAAAAAGTTGATAAAAGTTTTTGATAAGTTTCATTTTTCATCTGAAGAACAAGAACTGTTTTGTTGCAATACTCTAAATTAAGACTGAATGTATACAGTTTGTAAAGGTCTTTTTTATTTTCATCTTCAACCAATTATCAGAAAAGTAGAGACATGTTAGTTAAAAACACAGGTTACATAGCTGAGAATGGAAAATCAAGTCATTTGATTTTCCATTTTCAACTAATTAGTAGAATAGATTTATGTTGTCTGCATAAAGTCTTGTTCTTTTCTAGAATACTGCAACTGAAATAATCATCAAAACATGCTATCTTGTACTATTTACATAATAAAGGATAGCATATTGCTATAACAGAATCTTAATAATAATAATTAAAATATAATTAAAATGTATTCTTACCTGTTGTTGTAAATCAGAGAGAGGAGAATAAATACCAATATCTCTCTTGATTTCTGTTTCAGTTTTAATATTAATACCCATCATGACAACTGCATTATATTGAAATTTTGAGCAAAAATGATTCACAGTTGATTCAATATTTTCAGATGTCTTTACCGACTATAAACAAATATACTATTTTGTTACTGTTTTGTTTTTATTAATAATAATAAATTAATAATTAAAATTAATTTTCATAACAAAAATAATAGTTTAAGTGGGCAACTGGGCACAATATTGAAAAATGAGAAAAAAAATTTAATTTGGTTTCCATAATTAAGCATTTTTTCCCTCTCTCATTTTAATTTTCATTTTATTTTATTATAAAATTTAAAACATTTGTTTCTAAAGAATAAAAAAAATTTAATAAATTTCAGAAATTATCAAAATGGAAGATTATTTTTCATCCTCAACTGATTTCATTGAAACCAAATTTTTGAAATTTAATAATGTAAAATGTATATTATTAAATGTTTTGTTACAAAGAATTAGAAAAAATTTAAACATTTGTTTTTAATTATTACAAAGTTACAGGCCTAAAGATGATTAATTTGTCTTATCACTAATTTCAGTCAACACATGTTTGTGTATGCAACAGCATATATAGCAAAACCATATTATTTCAAAATTCAAAGGACCAAAAAAAAAAACAACTTCAAATCATCTGAACATTTTTCAAATTAAATTTTTTTTTGTAATTCTCAAATAAAATTATGACATTATCTTACATAGTTTCACCTGTTTAATTATAAATGCATTAATATTACAAATTACAGTAGAACCTCGATTATCCGGACTAATTGGGGATGAAGGTAGTCCGGATAAGGAAAAATCCGGATAATTGAAACAAATACTTTAATTTTAATGATAATATAACACGTTTTCTTTTCGATGACATATCGGTAATATTAAAAGTAAATACTGTATTTAAATCGTGATCAAATTTTCAAGAAACAAACGTTTGTATTGCATTTGGACTACTACTGACCAATGCTAACAGACTACCTATTGTTTAAAAGGCCCTCTGGTGGCGCAAGAAGACGGATTTTATAAAATAAAAAGCAGTTGAAACTGCATTTTTATGAATAAAAATTTGACAAACAATTTATCATTTTATGACGAGTAAAATTTTTTCGTCGCGTTCGCAGCTTTTAAGTAATGCGTAAACCTTCGAGGCGCGAGGCATAGGCGGTGGCTCACGTCATCCATGCCTTACACCGCCCTTGGTTATAGAAATGATGTAATTTGAATACAAATTATTTATAAATACATATGTCAAGTTATATTTTTATTACTACGTAAAATATATTTAAGAGTTTACGACCACTGTGCTGGATGAGACGTTGTTGAAACAAAAAAAGTTATGCATTCCATCACGTACATAAACTGTCGTAATTCACCAATTGCAAATCAGCAAATTCGTAAAATTTTTGTTTATTTTGAACAATCCGGATAATCGAAAATCTGGATAATGGAGGTTCTACTGTATTAGTAATTTAAGCTATTTTGCAAAAACTGTCAGTTGGCATGTGCTTAATGAAAACATAACCAAATTACATTCAAAGCAAGACCCAAAAATAATGTATGAAAGAAGCTTAAGTGCTTCATTAAGAATTATCCACAAATTTCACATAGAGGACCAATGACTAGTTCTTTAAAGTTCTATCTTGAGTTCAAGATTATGAAAATCACATGATCTGATGAAAACAAGTTCTACTAATGGCTAAAGCTATAAATTCACATTCTATTGTGAATATGCATATGTATTTAATCAACTTTGGACTTATTGAAACAATAGATTTTCACAAAAAATATCCAAAATAATTAAAATCCCAAATAGATTTTTTCCATAAAAATAAAAAAAATTCTCTCTTCATTGGCAATGCTGTACAATGTCCAAGAAATTATTCTACAAATTTGTGAATAATATAACACTAAATAATATACAGGGTATCCAAAAGTCTCTATACAGTGACAAAAATCAAGCCCGCTAGAGGCCAAATAAATAAAACCATTGAACACTCTTTTGGGACACCCTGTATATATATATTATTATAATAAAACACTAAATAATATATATATTATATTATACAGATAAACATATAATTATATTTATAACTGTTATCATCCTTAATATGAATATGTAAAGAGATAGATCAGATCAAAGTACTTGAAATAAAAATTTATAAAATTCTGAAGAAGCAATACCAAAACCTGTCACTTCTAAAAGTTGAATGAAAAAGGAGTCATAAGAGAGTTATGAATTTTTGTATATGATATCAACAAGTTACACATTACAGATTTGTAGATAGTAAGATCATATAAAACTAAATAATTTATATGAATGTAAAAATTTGACAAAGGGCATCAAAAAGTTTTACTTTACATCAAAAAACTTATCAGCATAATTTACCCATTTATTAAACAAATTAGTTTAATTACTTCTTTAAAAAAATTAATTAAAAATTTCCATAATTCCATGTGCATGACAAAAATACATTAAATTATTTATTAAAACTGCAAACGATTATTAAATTAATAACAAAATTCATTCAAATTAATCACTCAGACTTAATAGCTGAATGATTAACTTAAAAATATAGAAAAAACAATTAAAGAGATATTCTATAACACAAAATAAATCATTTTATGTATTTATTTTTACCTGTAATAGCATAGGAAGAGAAGAAATAGCTATGTTTATTGTATTATTAGAAATCACCTTGAGATCTTTCCGAAGTAATTCATCAAATGTAAGATCTATAATTTTCAGAACAAATAGTTTTTAGAATTAATATTTCTATAGCTTTTAATTTTAAAAATATATGATATCTGATTTTATGAATGGATTAAAAAGTTCAGATTCTGAATTAGCAAATTATAAAATCAATTAACCTGAGACATCAAATTTTGCTTTTTTTATTTCTTGAAATATTTCTTCTTTATTTACATCTTTAAGTAGTGATTCCAATTTTGAAGCTATTTCCATATCTTTACTTGTAACTCTTTTTGCATTTTCATTTAAACAAACAGTGTCAAATATAATAGTACCTAAATATATAAAAGTAGTGTAAGAATTAATCAAAGAAAAACTTTAAATTGTTATTTATTGAATAGTAAAATTAAACTATTGATATTGCTATATTTAGTATTCAACATATTTAAGATGATATGAAATTCTAGACTGAAAATGAATTACAATTAAAAGCATAATAAAAGTATGAAAATTTTAATAATTAAAATTTAATTTTTAATTAATAATTTAGAAATATGTAGAGAATAGATCAGCTTGCATTCAAAATTTGAACTCAATTAGTAATATAACTTCCCAATATAGTGAATTATTTTTTTAAATGTGAAGCCAAAAAGTGATCACAAAGCAAGTACTAAAAATAAAGGTTTTGATGATCAAAATAATTAACTAAGATTAAGTTTTGTTGCTTTAAATTCTGAGCTTACTTGCAATTAAGGATTATATAATGGCATGCCCAGAAAATGAATACATAATTTGAAAAACTGCATAATTTTATATTATTTTGTAATAATGTAACAGTATATTCTCATAACTAATTTTCACTGATAAAGATCTACATTTGTTTTGTAAATGATATTCTTTTTCTACACATTAATTATCTTTTCAAAAAATATTATCAATATATTTGGTGTTTGGAAAGTTCGTAGTGATTTTTATAGCTGACACTGACATGAAAGTTCAGACACTGACATGAAAATTATTAAAATTGTATAAACCAATGAATATTAAGAAGAATGACCTTGAGACATGTCCATTACAAAAAAACTTAAGATTATTCAAATATTGTTTAATTTGTCTTGTGAAAACAGATGCAAACAACATGCATTTTCAACACTTGTTTCTTTTCTTCTAGTGTAAAGGCAAAAATGATGTACAAACAGTGAAAGAAATATGTGATGTTTGTGATGGAGTGCTGTAGCAGAATCAATTGTTCAAAAGTGGTTTGCTAAATTTAAAGTGGGTAATTTCATCCTTGAAGATGCTCCCCACTCAAGAAGACCTCCTGTTATTGAAGAGGATCAGATCAAAACATTATTGGATGAAAACCCTCATTACACAACTCGAGAGATTGTAGATATAGTGAGTCATCAAACAGTACTGTATTTCAACATCTAAAGATGCTCAGATACGTGAATTGTTACAACATTTGGATACCTCACGACTTAACGGAAAAGAACTTACAGGATCGCATCTCCATTTGTGATTCTCTTGAAAAACAAAATAAAAATGACCCTTTTCTGAAGCATTTCGTGACACGTGACGAAAAGTGGATTGTTTATAACAACATCAGCTGAAAATGATCATGGGCAAGAAAAATGAACCACCATTAACAACTCCAAAGGCTAATCTTTATCCAAAGAAGGACATGCTTACCGTCTGGTGGGGTTGGAAAGGAATCCTGTACTATGAGCTACTTCCACAGAATCAAACAATTGATTCTGATAAGTATTGTTCCCAACTGGATAAACTGAACATGGCAATTAAAGAAAAACGTCCGGAACTGGCCAATAGAAAAGGCATTGTGTTTCATCAAGATAATGCCAGATTGCACGTCCTTACATACATGCCAAAAATTATTGGAACTAGGCTGGGATGTTTTACCAACCCTCCATATTCACCTGACCTTGCCCTGTTGGACTACCATTTGTTCTGTTCTCTGCAGAATTCCGTTTGTGATAAAAACTTTGATACTTTGGAAGCTTGCAAAAATCATGTGGAACAATTTTTTGTGGGAAAAACTGAAAAGTTCTATGAAGAGGGTATCATAAAGCTCCTCTGTAGATGGCAACATGTCATTAAAAACAACAATGCATACATAATAGGATAAAATATATTTTTAGTTTGAAAACAGTTTCTTTTATTTCTCTTAAAAATCGCTATGAACTTGCCAAACAAACCAATAACACTAATATTTTTGAGATATAATATAATATTGTACATACACACACAATTTACTTTTCCTTTATTAACTACTTCTGACATTCAATTTCCAAAATTTGCCCATTAAAATCCATAAATTAGAATTTTAGAACTGCATGTTTAAAGACAGTTCTTGTATCAAAAAACTTTTTAATAATAAATGCTTAGATTTAAAACCAAAATCTTAATGAAAGCATTTTATCTTTGCTCTATGAGTCTAAATATGAATCTTTTAGTCATAATAAAATTTTAAAAATGCAAGAAATGAGTGTCTATGCACTTTGAAGAGATGGAAGTTCTTAAATCTTGTAAAATTAATTAATTAATAAAATTCACTTAACACCCAGAAAATAACTCCAACTGGCATAACTTTGTTAGAGTTATTTTCTTTATTCTATTCAACGGCATTTAATTAAAAAATTAAATATAAATTTTGTTTAGAGTAGATAGTACATCAGCATGCATAATAAATACATTTGAATATTGTTTTTAAATATTTCATTTCATTTAAAAATTTTTTTTGATTCAAGAACTGTCATAAGATTTATTAGTCTTGAATTCTTATTATTAAAGCAGCCCATTATAGCGCTGCTTTAATAATAAGAATTCAAGACTAATAAATCTTATAAACATATAAGAAAGCACAATTGAGTGAAGAATATATTAATATGCTTTGTTAATGTATTGGTAATTTAATTACAGTAGAGCGTCGTTTATCTGAAAGACGGTTATCCGAAATGTCAGTTATCCGAAAGAATTCCAGTTGGCAAATTTAAATTTTTGCTAGTCTGTGGCGCTGCAATCTTTGGCCATGTCTTGGGATACTCCAATATTTTTTATGTTTGTGTATGTGTTTTAGCTGGTAGCACTGGCACTTTTGTGTGGTGTTTTTCTGAGGACTGTATGTCATGCTGAATCGAATGTTTTTAATACTAGATTAACTTCTAAAGTATAATTTTTTTTTGTTTTTATATTTTTAAATATATTTATTTTGTTTGTGAAAAATAAAGAAATAATTTTTAATGACACAATAGCCACGATTATTATTTTAAAAAGTTTACGTTAGGCTTAACATCGACGAAAATTCAACACAAAGCGACACGCAACGGAGAAAAATTTCAACATGGGATAGGTTAATGTATTTTTTCGTACATAATCGGTTATCTGAAAAATAAGTTATCCAAACAACCTCAGTCACCAATTGATTCAGATAAACGATGCTCTACTGTACATTCAATCAACAAAAATAAAAATTACATGTTTTAAAACAAATTATATAATAGTTTTGTTCTAACTTTATTTTAATTTCTTATAATTTATTTATAATCTATTCATTTAGTAAAACAAAAATTTCAACTTTCTCAGTATCATCCAAACTTGCCATAAGTATTTGAGTATCTAAAATATCAGGAAGTTTTTCAAATACTTTTTCTGCTACTAATGTGGCACAAGACCCCACTAACTCAATAGTAACATCATATCTGAAAATAAATATTAAAATTTTTTAGAATAATGATAATTAAAAGTATACAGACAAAATAAACTTAACTCACTTATCTTTAACAATATTTTCCTGTACATGATGATCAATTATTCTTATCACAGACGTTTCTAAGAATGAATCACTTGGTGCCAAAACATTATGATCAACAAGGATAACAGAAAGATTACCATCATTATGAAGTCTCTAAAATATTTATAATTTAATCATAAATTTCAACATTTCTTACTTTTAAAAAGTTTTCCTAGCATATAAAAGAATATTATGTACTGGCTGATTTTATTTAAAGTACCACTATTTGAAGCTATCAAGAGAGATATTTAGAAGTCCATATGCAACCAAACCTGGTATAGTGATATTCAGCACATACTAAAACTCACTGCTGTAGCCCTTTGGCACTGCAACAAACATTTTATTTATTCAAGACACTCATGCTATATGAAAACTATTGGGTTGTTCGGAAAGTAAGTTCATTTTTTTCCCGTGGAAAAAAACAGAACTTACTTTCCGAACAACCCAATAGTATAAAACTGTAATATTACAAATTACAATTCTGTATGACATGAACAAAACTTTTATGAATGTGAAATCTTGCTACTACCAGAAACGATGANAAAAAATATTTTTATAATAAATAAATATTTTATTGAATTATATATCGACCATTTTGGCCAAATACCTGTTGTCATCATTTCTGGTAGTAGCATTATTTCACATTCATAAAAGTTTTGATCGTTGCTTACAAAAAAATGATCCAAGTGATTTTTGACATTGTCATTTCAAGTAAATGTCTTACATCTGTAAAAGTTCATCCGATGGAGAATTATTTCTAATAAAATTAAAGACAAAACTGTCCAAAAAGGATCACCATTTATTATTTTTTGTGTTCCAAGACTAACAAGCAGCCTAAAAAGAAAGGTCAGTCACCGAAAATGTGTTAGTCTTGGAACACAAAAAATAATAAATGGTGATCCTTTTTGGACAGTTTTGTCTTTAATTTTATTATAAATGTCTTACAGTTAAAAAAAATTTGAATAGACCGGAACAAGTAATAATCCAAGTGTGCTCGATCTGGCGAATATGGTTGGTGTGATAGTACGTCCCATCTAAGTTACAACAGTTTCTGACAAGTTACCAAACTTGTGTGAAATTTGACATTATCGTGGTAAAACACTACATCTGTTTTGTTGATCAATTCTGGCCTCCTTTTCTGTTTGATGATATTACTCAATTTGTTTACTTGATGGCAGTACACTTTCGAATCAATTGTTAAATTGTCTGGTAATAGCTCCAAAAAAAATTTTCTTAAAATCCCACCAAAGAGAGCATCTCTCTTTAAGAACATGTGGAACCCATATATCAAGCTTTGAAACAAAGCCAATTTGTTTCAAGTAATCATAAACAGTTCAATTTGACAAATTTAATCTCTTAGTGATTTCACATGTTGTTATTCAGCAGTTTGCTTCAATCAGTACCTTTATTCTGTTTTCATTGGTTTCAACTGGCCATCCAGACGTAGTGCATCTTCAATATTGAAATTGCCAGAATGAAATTTTGTAAACCAGTTTTGGTACTGTCTTTCTCTCAACACATCATCTCCATACATGTACCAAATTTTTTTCTTGCTTGAACAGCATTTTGATTTCATGGGACACAAAAAATAAACAATTGCACAGAATCAAACAAAATTTTTTACAAATAAGCCTTAAAATGCTAGCTGTCAAAATATATAATGATAATACGGTTTAGAATAAAAATGGCGGGAAAAGTACGACAAATCCGTCTAGTGGTAAAAAAACGAACTTACTTTCCGAACAACCTAATAGAAAACTTAGCAATGCTGAGGACACTGCTCAATTTGGTCTCCATTCTGATGATGATAAATAGTGTGTTCTATTACTGACCAAAACTGATTCTCTGTGATGCTTCTCACTTGCATGTGATACTTATTTCAAGGCTGCCAAATTTGCAACATGTCCTAGAATAAACAACACTTTAAAATGTTTCTATAACTAAAAATTTCAGATTAAGATCTGGATTAAAAAAGTGCTCAAGCAATAGGAAATGCATGATTAATCTTTCTGTTAACTGTGAAATGTTGCAGAAACTGTTGGATGCAGCATTCAATATGTGCACAGGCTCCATCTTGCATAAAAATGTTCAACTCCAGACATTGTTGCCATTACAGCTGGGGTATGACAAAAGTGTTGATCATCTCTCATTCTCTCTGGGCTGTCACAGGCCCATTGGTAATAATTTCTCCAAAGTAGAATTTCCAAGGATAAATATGGTTATGAATTCACACCTGATTATAATTTTAGATGATTGCAATGTAATTTTCTGGAAAACCATGAGGATTCTCCATAATCCAAATGCAGTAGTTGCAGATGTTCAGTGTTCCATCAAGGTGTGCCTCTTCACTCCCCAGATGTGTCAATCTATGAAAGTTTCCTTCCATAGCCATGACACATCCATTTCCATTCTGGAAAAGAATGTTAATTCAAGATTCAGATCAGTCAGGTTTTCCTTTTAGTGATAAGCAACTTCTGGTTGTGGCCGGTCTTGTATGGATAGCAATGTGCCAACTTTCTCAGTATCATCCAAACTTGCCATAAGATACATCCAATTGCCACAACACTGGACTTTGAAAAATTGTTCATTGACTATTCAACAACAGCTATGAATTAGTAGATTTGCACCTCCACCATGCTGAACTCCCAGACACCCAGTTTCTTCAAATAGCATGATCTTTCTCCTGCAAGCTTGTGGAGTCAATGGTCCTCATTGTAAATTTTTTATGACTGAAATTCCATAAGTTGCATCACTACCATTGTTTTGATAGCCATCATAGCTATATGAATGACATTCAATAGTCATGATCACTTTTATACCCAGAATTTGGCTGTAACACATGTGCTTATGCAAAGGAAATTGCTTGCAGCACCAAAAATGTAATAATGATGAGTTTTGGCACTATTTTTACAGAAATGTCTTCCAAATGGCTTGAAATGTTACCATACCAGATTTGATTGCATTTAGACTATTAAACAGTTCTCTAGACAGTATTTAATAGCAATAATTCTAATTATGATCACCCAGTATATACATATATACTGACAGCTGTGGGCTCCCAAGTTTTCTCTGAGCCCAGGAAAATAGCCTCAACTTCAAAAGTATTACAAAAAGTGAAAACTGTCTTATTTTTGTAAACCGGCTTGAGTTTTGGAATGGAATTATAATCATGTAATTTATACTCTCATATAAAAAAAATAGGCACTAAACAACTTGGTTACGAAAGATTGTCAATACAATAATAATCATTAAAAAACAATTTCTGGTATTTCTGTATATTTTATTATATATATATTTAATTTGTTTAATATATTTAATATTATATATTAATATTTAATTTGTTTAATATATATATA